TAATAATCTGTTAAATGGGAATCTTATAGGTGCAATTGTTGTTTGCCTTCAAGTCATTTTCAACTTCTAGCAACCCTAAGGTGACCCAATTCAGAAGGGGGTTTCCCTTCTCTGAGGCTGAGAGTATGTGACTTGTCCAAGGTGAACCAGTGGGTTTCCATCGCCAAGTAGGGACTTGAACCCTGACCCAGTGCTCAGACTTCGATGTCATTCTGACTTCATGACAAAAGCAGATGAATTTGAATTTACCCATTTAGTTTGCAATTCACACCTCACCTTTGGAGCGCTTCCTTCATTCAGAGCATTCATACATTTTCCTTCAATCCCTAACAGTGTTGCTGAATTCCAGAAAGCTCTGGAGGGGAATTCTACAAACTACTTAATCTTCTTCAATCAAGCAGCTGGTGAGTATATGAGAAAGTGATGTGTAAGAAGTGTTTAGGTGGAAAGACATTTTGGGAATGTGGAAAGAGGATGACGTTTGTACCATGGTTGGCACAAGGTTAGAATACTATAAAATAGAATGCAGTGGCATGCTCAGAATGCTCTGAGGATGCTTGCTACAGATGCAGGCAAACCATCAGGAGAGAATGCTTCTAGAACATGGCCATACAGCCCAAAAAACCTACAACGATCCAGTGATTCTAGCCATGAAAGCCTTTAATAATAAATGTATAGTTTGCTGCGACTGCATCTAGGAGTTGAAAGATAGTTTTCTTCTTTGAATTAAAATAATGCATTGTTGTTGTTGTTGCTGTTGTTGTTGTTGTTAATATTATTATGATATTCCATATCTATATCTTAAAGGAGACTCAAAGCAGCTAGCTGATGGGTTCAGGAAACCATAGTGCAAAACAAAACAAAACAAAACAAAAACATTTGCAAGTTCTGAGAGATATTTTCTTGTTGATTCTTCTATCAGTCTTCTATCTTCCACAGGGACTATCTCCGTCCTCCTCCACCGACAGGCAAGGAGTGTGGATGTGATTAAAGCCTGCAGCCATGCTCTTCTCCTGGAAGTCCTGCTGTCCCGGGATGTGGCCTTGGATGTGATTGTGAAAAAAAAATCCCTCTTAGCTGTGCAGAAGCAGCTTCGTGAAGGTAATGAACTGCTCAACCCAGAAGTGCATCTGGGGAAGGCCTTATACGGATCACATAGGCAGTATGAATGGGAAGATACTTAGAACAAGGAAAGGTGCCTCCTTGAGACATGGGAGGTCTCTTCCTAAACCACGCAGATGACATTGCACTGGGTGATCATGTAGAATAACCCATCTTTCTTTTTGTATCATCCAGGATCTAAGAACAACGATTGCAGTGTGATTTCTGAGACACATAGGGTACTAGACATGATATTACCTAAATTTCTGGCAGGTATGTCATATAAGTAAATATTAAAACCATTTGCTTCAAAAATTTGGAAAAGTCAGATTTCAACACGAGTGTGTTTTGCAAGTTGAACAAGTTTGCATCTAACTTTTGTGTGTGTATGTGTGTGTGTCAGGAGCGACTTGAGAAACTGCAAGTCGCTTCTGGTGTGAGAGAATTGGCCGTCTGCAAGGATGTTGCCCAGGGGACACCCAGATATTTTACCATCCCATGGGAGGCTTTTCTCATGTCCCCACATAAGAAGCTGAAGCTGAAGGATGTCCGGAAGTCACAGAATTTTTTTATTTCACTTTCTCATTTTGGTTTATTGTTTTACTTTATCTATATATACACACACACTCACATGTACGTATATATGAATATATGTAGATGTGCGTATATACAGCGGGGGAAAAAAGTATTTAGTCAGATACCAATTGTACAAGTTCTCCCACTCAAAAAGATGAGAGAGGCCTATAATTTACATCATAGATAGATCTCAACTATGAGAGACAACATGAGAAAACATATCCAGAAAATCACATTGTCTGATTTTTAATGAATTTATTTGCAAATTATGGTGGAAAATAAGTATGTGGGGAGACTAACTTATCTAATTTACAATGCCATGGAGCCCCCGGTGGCGCAGTGGGTTAAACCCCTGTGCCGGCAGGACTGAAGACCGACAGGTCGCAGGTTCGAATCTGGGGAGAGGCGGATGAGCTCCCTCTATCAGCTCCAGCTCCTCATGTGGGGACATGAGAGAAGCCTCCCACAAGGATGATAAAAACATCGAAATCATCCAGGCGTCCCCTGGGCAACGTCCTTGCAGACGGCCAATTCTCTCACACCAGGAGTCACTCCTGACACGACAAAAAAATGCCATAAAAATCTCCAGCAGTGTGCAAAAGAATGAGGAAGTACTCCATCGGTGTCACAAGTAGACAGTGAAGCAACAGCTCCCCCGGTGGCCAGAATTCGAGCATACCCTCATGAAGCTAGAATGTTAAATACTCAGCCTCTGTGTCTTTGTCTATATATGTTGTATGTCTAAATGTCATTGAATGTTTGCAATGTATATGTGCATTGTAATCCACCCTGAGTCCCCTATGGGGTGAGCAGGGTGGAATATAAATACTGTAAATAATAATAGTAAATAATAATCATAATAATAAGAAATAAGAAAACCCCATATTTGCTTTGTACGTTGCTTTGCAGAAAGTTGGTAGCAAGACAGTCTAGATTAGGCCTGGGCAAACTTGGGCCCTCCAGGTGTTTTGGACTTCAACTCCCACAATTCCTAACAGCCTATTTGAAGGCTGAAGTTTGGCCAGGCATTATTTGGGGATACCACATTCTTGTTCTTTCATTTATCTGCATACCAATTTATCTCTTCCAAGGTTTGACGGAAGCAGGATGGGTGACAGAGCGGAATCTTTTGGGCCCGGAAGAGTGGCGCGTGGATTGGACCGTTGCTGGGAAGAAAACACTTTGACACTGGAAGAGTGTTGAACATTGGAGAATCAAAGAGACTGGATGGTTGGCGCTGGATCTGTCTTCGCCTCTTTAGAGATGGGCAAAACTGTAATGCCAAAAAGGGAGGCAATGTGCAGACCGTGTACCTGCTCCCTCTTTCCCAGAATCTGTGATTTGGCAGCGGGGCAGAAAAAAAATAAACATTTTGTATTGGTTTTATATGAGGTCTTTTAAGGCACAAAGTGAAAGACAGTGCAGATAACATTACACTAGGGTATGGATGTGACATTTTTAATCCCAATGCTTGTAACTTTGGTTTGTTTATCTCTTCCACAGTATCGTTTGAGTGGCTTGCCTTTTCTGTAGCATAAAAGGATCAATATAACTTTCTGGTGGTGTAGCAGGTTAAAGCGCTGTGCTGCTGAACTTGCTGACTGAAAGGTTGGCGGTTCAAATTCGGGGAGCGGGGTGAACTCCCGCTGTTAGGCCCAGCTTCTGCCAATCTAGCAGTTTGAAAACATGCAAATGTGAGTAGATCTGTAGGGGGTTTTTTTGTGTCAGGAGCGACTTGAGAAACTGCAAGTTACTTCTGATGTGGGAGAATTGGTTGTCTGCACAGACGTTACCCAGGGGACACCCAAATATTTTTTTGATGTTTTACCATCCTTGTGGAAGGCTTCTCTCAAGTCCCCACATGGGGAGCTGGGGCTGACAGAGAGAGCTCATCCACACTCCTTGGATTCGAACCTCTAACCTGCCAGTCTTCAGTCCTGCCAGCACAAGGGTTTAACCCATTGCGCTACCAGGGGCTCCTAGATTAATGGGTACGTTTCTGCAGGAAGGTAACGGTACTCCATGCAGTCATGCCGGCCACAGGACCTTGGAGGTGTCTATGGACAACGTTGGCTCTTCAGCTTAGAAATGGAGATGAGCACCCCCCCCCAGAGTGGGACATGATTAGACTCAATATCAGGGGAAGCCATTACCTTTACCTATAACTTCCTCTCAGATTCTGTTCCATTGAAATCTGGGAATTCGTATAAAAAATAATGGTGTAACAGCTTTGGAACAGATGATTAGATGGTGACATGTCGGAACTTTAAAAGGCATTTCAAAAGGGCCTTTACGTCCTTAGAATTAATAACACTATGTAACAAAATTTGATTTTTTTTCCTGTTCCTGGTCTGAAAGTGTTATTTCCTGTTTAATTGTGTGGTGCTTTCTTTGAAAGCAGTTGTTATACTCCAGAAACGTCATTTTTGTGCCTGCCACAAACTTTGTTGAATTGGTTGAGACTCTAAGATATTCACTGAAAAGTTATAGCAAAATGTGCTGCGGGATGTCCCACAAAAACAAAGTTTTGCAGTTTAATAAACATTTTCCATGTTTTTATGATAGTTAGGAAATGACATTTATAACCCAGAAACAAAATGTAGGGATCCCAAACTAAGGCCCGGGGCCTGGATACGACCCTCCAAGGTCATTTACCCGGCCCTCACTCAGGGTCAACCTATGTCTGAAATGACTTGAAAGCACACAACAACAACAACAATCCTATCTCAGCCAAAAGCAGGCCCACACTTCCCATTGAAATACTAATAAGTTTATAATTGTTAAAATTGTTTTTTTTTGCACTACAAATAAGATATGTGTAGTGTACACAGGAATTCATTCATTTTTTTGTTTGTTTTCAAATTATAATCCAGCCCTCCAGCAGTTTGGGGGACTGTGACCTGGCCCTCTGTTTAAAAAGTTTGTGGGCTCTGGTGTAATGACACACTTTTTGTCCTAGGTGACATAGGTAAAAGTTTCTCCTTCGATTATTTCATGTTGTGGACATCAGCTAGTCCAGTGCACTTTGATTCCAGTTTTTATTTTATTATTGCTTGTATAGTTGCCTTTATTTTCCTGCGTCTCTTCCAAAAAGGTCGAGTACATGGGACCTTTCCTCCCCATTTTACTATTATAACAACAACCCTGTGAGGTAGGCCAGGTTTAGAAATGAGACTGGCCCAGTAAGTGTTGTGGCTGAGTGGAGACTTGAACCTAGATCTTCCCTATCCAATGCTCTATCTACAAATTACGGACCCTCAGAGTTTACGTTGGGACCTCCACAGTCCCCAGGAGGCTGCAATATGCCCAGAAGGATTGGTGGGAAGGGATCATAGTTTATGATGAGATACCACAGTGGGTGGCACTCAGGCATAGTAGCCCCACAAGAAGCTTGCGAGAGCCATCATGACCAGAGCGTTGATGTTGACCACGCGCCTCCAGACTGGATGCTCTGAGATGTCCGTTAGGCGCCGCAACTCTTCCGCTTTCTCCTCCGGGGTTGGCTCTGCCTGATCTTGATGGCTTGTCCCCGTCCCACAGAACCAGTTGAGACATTGACGCAGCTTGCCTATAGGAAGTGCTGTCTTCTCATCTATGGGGAAAGAACAGACAGAAGACCATGAAGCTGATTATAAGGCTGCAAATGAGACCATCCCAGGAGAATGGGGCTCCCATGGGAGTTGTGGATGAGCTGGGGATCACACCAGGAATGGTTGGAGCAAAGCTTAGAGACGTTACATTTTGTTCTACAGCCAACCATAAAAGACATTAAGTCTAGTCATGTCTGACTCTGGGGGATGGTGCTCATCTCCATTTCTAAGCCAAAGAGCCGGTGTTGTCCATAGATGCTTCCAAGGTCCTGTGGCCAGCATGACTGTATGGAGCGCCATTACCTTCCTGCCATTACCTATTGATCTACTCACATTTGCATGTTTTCGAACTGCTAGGTTGGGAGAAGCCGGGGCTAGCAATGGGAGCTCACCCCACTCCCTGGATTCAAACTGCCAACATTTCAGTCAGCAAGTTCAGCAGCTCAGTGGTTTAACCCGCTGTGCCACTGAGCGCTCCATGCTGACTGGAAAAATTATACGGCTATGAATAGGGCCATAAAGCTTGCAGAAGTTGCCTTTTGGTCTTCAGCTGACCATGCTCCTAGCGGAGTCATGGGAACTGTAGTCCAAAAAGTATGTTTTCTGAGATTGAAGGATGCCTGCTTTCCTATCTCCAACACTCCCATGTTGTCTCACCTTCCACTTCCAGGATGTTCTCCAGCTTTCCATTCTTTGCTTGGGCCATCTCTATCTGCTGCTGGCGCGCCGCCTCCTTTAGTTTAGCTTCGTCCTCTTCCTCGGTGTCCAGATCTATCCGTTCCTCCTTACTGTACCTGAGGCTGAACACGAGGCGATGCAACTGGCAAGACAAAGAGGGTTTTTTAAAAAGATGCCTGAATGGAAGGAACAGGACTGAAGTGGATGAATGGAGACAGAAAAGGGAACAAGATTACAAAGGAAGACTAGAAAGAGAAAGGGATGAATAGAGTAATATTCACAGACTATGATCCATTAGCAAAGTTATTAACAAAGACTATAGCTTTACAGAACACTAAATATATTAATATACAAGCCTTGTTGCTGTAGATACTAACAAAAGGATTCTTCTCAGAGATAAACTGGATTATCTTTAACACATCAGCACTAACTGACCACTGTAAAGACCTGGAAGACCTGTATTGCCTCGCTTGGCCTTTGGAAAATTTAGAGCAAGAGTCATGATTAGGATCTTTCTGGATCCTATTACCTTCTGCTCCACTCCCTATATAAACATGCTTTGTGCCTGGGGCGTTAATACTACTCAGTACTGCATCCAAAGAAGTGGGCTTATATCCACGAAAACTCATTCAAAAGTAGTAAACTAATCAGTCTTTATAGATATTGCCAAATTTATTTTTCCTGTTTTTCAATGAGAGAAAATGTTTTTAATGTTTTTAAAGTGACCCCAAAGATGTGTATTTCAAAACATAAAACCTTTCTTTTTGTGTACTCTTATAAACAACATCTCTTCCTGCACCTTTTCGTTATTATGTCATTAATATTTTTTCTCTATGCAGGTTCTCCCTAAATTAATAGCCCTCCCTAAACTGCAAATCCCAGGGTGTTTTCATGGAATCATAGTACTCTGATTTTTGGAAAGGCATGACCTTTTAGAGGTCATAACTTTTTTGGAAAACCAGAATCTCCATAATGTTTTGGAGAAAATTAGCATTTACAACCATTTGAAAATCATAACCTTTTGTAAAAGTATGATCATCCATGAGAAGAGCCAAAAACTTAAGTAAAATATTCTCTTTAGTGGTATATAACCACATGTGCTTATGCAAGGCAATTTGGTTTTCAGTTGTTAGACTGATAATCTAGTTGTCTCTGATCTGTTAGGAATAGATATTATGTCAATACACAAAATATAGCAGTTCTTCAGAAGTGTTTTCTTCAGTGCCCCAAAAAAATCTTTTCTCCCATACAATATCTTGTTTCTATATGATGCTCTCAAGAGAAAAAATAAAGTAGACTTCATTAAAAGTAACATATTTGCTTTACACACAACCTTCATGTATTCAGCATACAGGTACATAACTTGTCAATCAAGTTACAGATAGATTTGAAGTATTGTCGAAGGCTTTCATGACTGGAATCACTGGGTTGTTGTAGGTTTTTTCGGGCTATATGGCCATGTTCTAGAGTGATTTTCTCCTGATATTTCGCTTGCATCTATGGCAAGCATCCTCAGAGGTAGTGAGATTTGAAGTAGTTTCTCTATCCAGATAACACAGGGCATCTTTCTTATATAATCAACAGCAACATGAGTTTGCTCTTAACAGTCCAAATTCTAATGGCGTCTCTATGTTCTAAAATGGAGTCTCAGATCTGAGCAATCCCAGATCTGATCATGTGGTCTGCAGCCCCTCCCACAACCTCAAGAAACATAGAGTAAAGGGAAAGCTGCATACAAAACATACATATATTTATACATGGCTCTCATATCTCCTCTCAGCCTTCTCTTCTTCAGGCTAAACACGCCCAGCTCTTTAAGCTGCTCTTCATAGGGCTTGTTCTCCGGACCCTTGATCATTTTAGTCACCCTCCTCTGGACACATTCCAGCTTGTCAATATCTCTCTTCAATTGTGCCCAGAATTGGACACAATATTCCAAGTGTGGTCTAACCAAGGCAGAATAGAAGGATAGCATTACTTCTCTAGATCTAGACCCACTAAGCAGTTTTGCAAATATTGCCTGAAGAGGCAGGGGACTAATAAATAAGAAGTATCTCTTCCTTAGAATTGTAGTGCTTTGAAAGAGGAACCCCAGGAAAATGGTAAAATAAAGGAGGAATTTCAGTAGACATTTGCTCCAGAATGCCCAGTTCAGATTTTTGGCCTGAATTGTTCACCTGCCATACTTACATGCTTGTCCTGGATCGGAGGGGTGCAGAGAGAGACCACCATTGTGATAACAGCCGTAGCAGAAAAGAGGATGACGGAGAAATAGAGGTAGTGGACGCCACAGATCAGGCGGGGGCAAGAACTGGGAAACAGGCAGCTCCCTGTTCCGTAAATGAATTCCGGGATCATCCGGGCCATGCCAATGGCGAGTCCTGAAACCAGGCCCCAGAATGCACCCTGTAGGAGAGGAGCAATATGGGGTGAAGTTGGAGGAGAAGCAACAAAGCAGAAGGTGGGATGGTTCATGTTAGGTGGCATTTGTCTCTCCTCTTTTCAATCTCAAGTGCACATAGGTTGGGAAAATTACTTCATTGGATTACAATTTGGAGGAACTTCAACTAGCACAGACATTTGGGGAGCTGCAGTCCCCTCAAGAAAGTAATTTTTTCCACCTCTAATATTTACAGCCCACAACAGACCCTAAAAAAGTGATAATGTTCTTAAATATATGGCATATTGGCCTAATTCTATTGTTTTGAGTAAAAGAGAACCATTGGCTCAGAGTGCATCTACACTGTACAATTAATGCTGTTTGACCCCACTTTAAGATCCATAGCTCAATGCTATGGACTTCTGCAAATTGTAGTTTGTCAAGGCACTCTTTGGCAAAAAATTCTAAAGAGCTTGTAAAACTATAACTCCCATGAGTCCATAGCACTGAACCATGTCAGCTACTGTTGTGTCAAACTGCATTAATTCTGCAGTGTAGATGCACTCTCAGATTTACTTATACGTTGACTCACGATAGGATAATTGACTTAATGGATCTACTTTAATTGGAACTATCAGGACAACAACATCGTGCTCTTTGCTTTAACATCTATAACAACAAATACCAACCATCAGACAAATTGGTTCCAGGTGTCCAGGTCATACCCAGATCGACGCCCCCCCCCCCCTACTCTGAGCATTTAGGTTTGCTTCCTACAGTTTATGACTCTTCTATCCAGCATGTATTCATGTTGAGAGGCTTATTTCTGAGCTACTCACCTGCTCGTTGACCCTTTTGACAAAGACTCCAAGGAGAAAGATGGCAGCAATAGGTGGGGCCAAGTAGCTACTGACCGACTGGATGTAGTCAAAAAGCTGCCCACCTTGAGCAGCCTGCACTATTGGGATCCATGCAATACTGATTCCCACAAGGACCAAGATCCACACCCTGGGGGGAACCATACAAAAGGTAAGAAGGCATCGTTCTCATAGTGGACAAAGGATGGCTGACAGGAACAACTGAAGAAGTCTAGAGAGAGCAGCTTAATGGGAGCATGGAAAGCATTCTGTTTGAAATTAGGAAATAAGACTTCCTTTCTGGCATCTGCAAAGATCAATGAAGGTCAGGGGTTTAATTTCAGTGAGGCAATTAATCAGACCTCAGTTTTACCCTAATTTAAAACGTGCTGTTCTGCCCCCACGCAGGCATGTAGGGGGGGGGGGGGGGGGGGCTCGGGGGGCTTCAGCCCCCCCCCCGAAATTCTCATGGTGGTTCGCGAAAAGGCCTTACTGGTGCATTATTTAAACTGTTATGTTTATTCATATCATGATCTGATCACCATACTCAATATATCCCATATGCATGGGGGTATTGGGTTAATGATACAAAAGGTTTGCTAGGCTAGACCCTCTTTCACTCAGACTCAGCCCCCCCGAAACTCAGCCCCCCCAAACCCCCCTGAAAAAAATTCAGCCCCCCCCCCCCCAAAATGAAATCCTGGCTACGGGCCTGCCCCATGCTATCTTAACTACTTGGAAGGTGAACTGGCTGTGCAGGGAACAGATCGGAGACTATATAGTTGAATCAAACAAGAATTTATTAACTGTCAAGAATTTTAGACTTTTTCTCCTTCTTAGTCTCACTACAAAGTCTTTATGAGGAGAGGTAAGTCTTTGAGCGATAGACACAGTTCTGGCCGAACTGAGGCTCTTGAATCTTCTTATTGTCTCTTTCTTGCATGGTGTTCAACTGTGTCTAAGATGGTCTCAAAGTTTAACTCCGACTGGGCTTGAATACAGCTCCAACTAGACGTGCTATTTTGTAGACCTTCCAGCCTTCCTCTTTCCTTACCTTCCAGTCACAAAAAAGCAGACTCTTCCAAGAACCAGAAGTGCCTTTCCTGGGGGTCTGCCCTGAGGGGATTCTTAAAGGGGCAGGGCGATGGAGGCTTCAAGTGCAAAGAGGCTGTCTAGACTGACTTCCCAGAAACTGTACAGATTAAATATTAATCCCTCTAACTAAAAAGGGCTTAACTAGGTGTAAACTATGAGGGTCTTAATGGGGCACGTCAGGAGCTATTCAAAGAACTGAAACCTACCACTAAAATGGCTTCAGTATCTTGAATACACCTTCATTTGGACAAAAAAAACCCCATAATCTATTCATTGCCCCATCAGTATAGTTTCCTAGATTACAAACTCATGTGTTCTGCCATTTTAGAGGTTAACGTTCCCTAATAACTCTGGGTGATGTAGTTCATAGATGATAAATGTGGAAGATCCTTAGTTACTCTCTAACTATGGTTCCCATAGATCATACGGAAAGAGAAAGGCAGAATATAAATTAAACAAATAAATGGAGAGATTGTTTACAGGAAACAACATCTGCTAAGGCAGTTTAAATGCAGATGAACTCTCAGGACCTACGATTCGTACATGGCTGGGGAAGAAGGAAAGAAACAGTGGCTGGAAAAAAAATCTAACAAGACTGTTGCAACAAATGTTAATAGAAAGCCCCATATAAAAGATATTAGAACCTCTTTAGAGCAGGATTAGGGACAGTGTGGTCCTTGTTGTACTGAATCCACCTACATTTCTGGTCATTGGCCATACTGCTTGCTGATAATTGAAAGCAGCAGTATCGGGAGAGCTTCATATTCTCATTGGTCTTCATCTTAGGAGTGCACTACAGACTGAGCATCCCTTATTTGGAATTCCAAAATCCCGAACATTCAAAAATCCAAAATTGTCCCTATGACGACTGAGATAGTGGCCCTTTTGCATTCTGATGGTTCAGTGTACACAATTTTTTTGTTTCATGCACAAAATTACTGAAAGCATTGTGTATAAAATTACCTTCAGTTTATATAAGGTGCATATGAAACATAAATAAATTTTGTGTTTAGACTTGCGTCCCATATCTCATGATGTACATATATGCAAATACAAGTATTCCAAAATCTGGGGGAAAATCCCAAATGGGTCCCAAGCTTTTTAGATGAACGATACTCAACTTCTACTAAATCAGTGGTCCCCAACCTTTTTGTGACCAGGGACCACTTGAGCAGAGACCACTTTGACCAGGGACCACTCACCAACATTAGTACCAAAAGGGTTACGAATCAGTTTTGGTCAACTTTAGGTTCCGTTTGGTTATTTGGGGTGCTGATTGAGAAAATTGCATTGGATAGACCACATTAGCTCTAGTTTCTGATACAGAACAGAGGCCATCCAGTCCTAAAAACGAATATACCAAGAAAATTTTTTTTGATTGGGCTGGCCGCAGACCATATTTTGGTTCTTGTGGACCACTGATGGTCCACGGACCACAGACTGGAAACCACTGTACTAAATGGATGTGGAGAAATCACAACACTACACTCATTCTCACCTGCCCACTATCAGCAGCTCCTTGTCATGGGCTTGCGGCCTCAGGCGGTTGTAGATGTCCATGGTGAAGAGAGTGCCACTGCTGTTGAAGATGGAAGCCAGGGAACTCATCAATGCAGCCAGCATCACAGCCAGCATAAGGCCCCGGAGTCCTTGGGATGTAACAACAGGGAGGAAGGAGAATGCATATCCTTAATTCCTAAAGCTCAGCACTCTTCATAGCCCATAGAAAGACTTAAGATAGAAAGGATGGCTTCAGAGGGCCTGTCAGGTCCACTTCACCCAGTGTTCAAAAGGAATGATGTGGGGTCAAACACAAATGAACCTTCTGCCCTTACCATTCGGCATGAGGGCTACCACCAGTTTGGGGTAGGCGATATTGGAACATCCAACCTCTGTGCCACATATCCGCATGCATTCCTCTGGGATGACACAGGCCACATCATCTGAAAAAAGTAAAGAGAGATGAGAGGAGGCTGAATATTTGGACTGATGGGTTGCTGTTACCATTAATCTCTAAACACATCTTGAACAACGTTCCCCAGTATTTACCTGGATATAAAATCCGGCTGATCATGCCAGGCATAATCATGAGAAACATGGGTAGCAGCTTTAAGTAGCCACAAAGGATGCATCCAGCTTTGACATGGGTCAGGTTCTTGCCAGCCAGGCACCTCTGCACTATGACCTGTGTTGAGTGGGAATAAAACAGCTTGTCATATGTATTCTCTGTCTCTAGAGCTT